CCTGTGTGTATCAGCATTGCTACAGATATACTTTTGTAAAACTCTGCTTTATACATTTGTCAAACCAATGGTTAAGAATGTTATATTATTATAGTTTCAACGATCTGGGATTAAAAATTTACTATACATGGGTGAAATGGTGATTTTTCCATTCATTTATTGTTTATATCCAGTCTATATTCCTACTAAACTAGGGTCTTTTTCCTTTTTAATTCTTATTTGGTGAAGCATTTTTACTACAATGAAAATTTAAAAGATGTTTTCTCAAAAACTAAAGAAAAAGAAAGGGAGTGTGAAGGTAGGTAGGAGAGGGAGAGGGGAAGGAGGGAGAGAGGAAAGGAATATCATTATATTAGAATTTTAGCCACGGACTATAATGGATCAGTTAAAATTAATTAAAATTTTATAATAGATAGCAATAAATGATCCACCATAAGCAAATAAAAGATGATAAAAAACTATTTATTTTTAATTTTGATAGATACTGATCAACATTAATGAACTGCATTCCACATGGGATTATATTTATTTACACTCCAGTTTATACTACATGAGCATAACTTGCTCCACACAAGACCTTGTTAACACAGATGGTTGTCAAATCTGGGGAGTTCTGTCAACCTAATAGGTGAAAAATAGCTTTAGTTTGCATTTCCTTTTTTACAATTAGGATTCAAATGTATGCTTCCATGTGTATTTTCCTCTAAAAGATGACCATTAACATCTTTTGCCTGTTTTTCTACTGGGTTATCTTTCTTATCAAGTCCTTGGGAAAGTATCATTTAAAATTATTTTAATACTCTCAGCTTTTATATTAATTATGGAAATTTTCATTTATTTGGCACATTCATATTTTTGCCCTTTCATGATATACTTAAGTGATGATATATCCAATTTTATTATATTTAAAAATGAACTTTTTAATGTTTTTCTGTCTTCAGAAAGTTATTTCTGTTTTTCTATTTATTTCCTACTATACCCCTTCAACTTATTTGATTATTCTTTAATTTTATGCTTTTATATATATATAATTACGATTTATTTATTTATTTGAAAGTCAGAGTTACAGAGAGTTAAGACAGAGGGGGATCTTCCATTCACTGGTCCACTCCCCAAATGGCTGCAATGGCCAGGGCTGGGCCAGACAGAAGCCAGGAGCTAGAAGATTCTTCTGTATCTTCCACATGGGTGCAGATGCCCAAGTACTTGGGCCATCTGCTGCTGCTATCCCACACATATCAGATGGGAGCTGGATCAACAGCTGGGACTCGAACCAGTGGCCATATGGGATGTTGGCACTGCAGGCGGTGGACCTTACCACAACACCAGCCCCTCATATATTTTTCCATCTTTCACTTTATGAATCTGTAACTATATTACTCTAAGCAATTCTTCAGTTGTACAGCATAATTTTACTTTGGAAGTATTCATTTAAAAAATTTACAATTTAAGTATGCATTTTATCTTTTTTTATTTAAAGATTTATTTATTTATTTGAAAGTCAGAATTACACAGAGAGGAGAGGCAGAGAGAGGTCTTCTATCTGCTGGTTCACTCCCCAATTGGTCGCAATGGCCAGAGATGTGCCAATCCAAAGCCAGGATCCAGGAGCTTCCTCTGGGTCTTCCCACATGGGTGCAGGGGCCCAAGGCTTTGGACCATCTTCTACTTCTTTCCCAGGCCATAGCCGTGAGCTGGATTGGACGTGGAGCAGCCGGGTCTTGAACCAGCACCCAAATGGGCTGCCGACACTGAAGGAAGCGGCTTTACCTGCTACGCCACAGCGCTGGCCCCATGCATTTTCTTTATGACCCAAAAGTTTAATCAACTTAAAATGCCTAGGTAGAAGAACTTTGTGATTTTTGAGTATGTTCTTATTTTAAATTTTACTGTATGTTAGTAAAATCTTACCAGTTTTTTTAATTTACCATTTTTTCTGGTGTCTAAATCATCATGTCAAATTTATACTTGAAGTTATATTCCCTACTCATACACAGTTTCATTCCATGGCAATCAGATTCATCTTATTATTATATTGCTTTTCCTTTTTATTCTTTGTGAACTGAGTTGGAGGAATTAAATTGTTTTAAGGTTTTAAACTATTGGGTCCAGTGTTACAGTGCAATGGGTTCATGTCTTGGACTTTGAGTCCTGGATGTTCCACTTCCAATCCAGCTCTCTGCTAATGAACCTGGGAAAGCAGAGATGGTGTAGGGCTTGAGCCCCTGTCACCAATGTGGGAGACCAAAATGGAGTTATAGGCTCTGGCTTGGGGTTGGCCCAGCCCAGGCCACTGCAGCAGCCATCTGGGGAGTGAATCAGTAGATGGGAGAGCTCTCTCTGTCTGTCCCTCCATCTCTCTCTAACTCTTTCAAATAAATAAATAAATCTTTGTTTAAAAAACTTTTAAGCTGTAAGTGGCTATTAATTATAACTGCAATTTCTGTTTTATGAACGTTTCAACAATTAACAATCTTTCATCCGCTGGTTCATTCCCCAAGTGGCAACAATGCCAGAGCTGGCCAGATCTGAAGCAAGGAGCCAGGAACTTCCTCAGGGTCTCCCACATAGGTACAGGGGCACAAGCACTTGGGCCATCTTCTGCTGCTTTCCCAGGCACATTAGCAGGGAGATGGATCAGCAGTAGAGCAGCTGAGATTCGAATTGGCACCCATACGGGAAGCTGGCACCGCAGGCACAGCCCTACCTGCCAGATCATTGCACCGGCCCCTTTTTCCACCAATATTTTCCCAAAGCTTCATTACCTTATAATTCAACACTTCCATTTTATCTGAGTTCTTAAAATCCTGTTTAGTGGCTGTCTGTACATAAAAGCAATTCATTTGTTTCTTATTTTTTAAACTTTTGGTAAAAATTTTAACCAAATTCAGTATATATGCCATAGAAATATTTTTCTGTTGAGTCTTCATCATCAAATGCTTAGTTCTGACTGCTGTTTTCATATGTTTTATTTGACATGTATAATCTGACGTCAAATTTTCTAATATGAAGGAGCTTCAAAAAGTTCATAGGAAATGGAATTTAGTTTTGTTTCATGCATATAAATTTTGAAACCAGTGATGAATTTTTTCACAATATTCATTTTCCATTAACTTTTTGAAGATACCCTTTATTGTCAAATTCTCCTTAACCAACAAGAGATTTCCTTGTGCACGTGTAAGGGAATACACACTGGTAACCTTTTTCTTTCACAGTCCCAAAATGGCTTCTCCCTCTATCTCCACAGAGATAGACTGCTTTCTATAAATACAGCTCATCTGTGTATTTGTTATGCATCTGGTTTTCTGAAACCAATGTGACTCAAGGACTCTGCTATTAGATTGATGAATGTGTATGTAGCTAGTACTTCAAACCGATGTATTTTTCACCTTAAAGTGGTCTTTGATCTTCAGAAAGTATATTTTCCTAGATATTTTGTAAAATTTAATATCAATGAACCCTCTCATCATTCTCTTTATAGTCTTTTTTCTTTATTCTTCATAGTTATAATTCAATTTTAAAAGATTTAATACCAATACCTATAATCTTAATACTCACACTTCAGAGTTCATGGCTTGTAGCTATCTTCTAATTTAGCTATCTATTCAATTGATGAGAGTTTTTATTTTTTACTCTTTGTATTTATGGATTTTACAGGAAAAGGAAAACTTAACAACATTTTAACAACATATCTATGGAAACTGCCTGCTTATTATTTTTAATTCTGCATGATTTTCAACTTTTTCTGTAGTTTTAGATGAGTTTTCTTTATCTCTCTCTATATATATATTTTTATATATATATATATATTTTAAGGGTGTATCTACAGCTATAATAGCTATAATTCTTTACCTTTCTACAAGTAAATTTATTTTCCCTAACTGAAGTTACAATGAGAGACCTTTGGTTTTTTTTAATATGAAAGACAAAGAGAGAGAGCCAGAGAGAGAAATGGCGAGAACTCCCATCCACTGATTTACTCTCCAAAAGCCTAAATGGTTGGGACTGGGCCAGGCCAAAGCTAGAAGCCAAAATCTCATTCTGAGTCTGCCAAGTGTGTGGCAGGGAGTCAGCAACTTGAGCCATCACCTGCTTTCAGTGCGCACATTGGCAAGAAGCTGGGGTCAGGAGTGGAGCAGAAAAGCCAACCCAAGCACTCTAATAATGGGATGGAGGCATTCCAACTGGTGGCTTAAATCCTAGATCAAATGCTCAACAATGAACCTGTTACTTAGCATATTTACATTTTCTCAACTATAATACTTTTCTAAAATCCTGACTTTGTTCAAACTATCCCCTATAACTAAAATGTCTCTGCTCTTCCTTACTTAACTACTGATTAAGTTATCAACAAAAAAATCTAAATTTCTGGATTACACAATTCTTAAACCATAGCACTATTTCCTAGGGAATATTTGTATTAAGAAATGACTCAAAAAGAAGATTCATGCACTGGACAACATAATATAAAATACAATCATTAATAGTTGTTGCTTACAGTATTTTTGAAAAGTATCTAATTCTGGAATTGGGGGAAGTGATAAGGTACTCTAAAAACTTCAGGTCACAAAAGGTATCAAGAAGCCTCATTGCTGAAGAGAATGCAAATAAATAAAATTCATATGTGAATATAAAATCATCTCTCCCAGAGACTCTAATATACATGGTACTCCCTGAATCAAGTAAAGTTTCATTGAAATTGCATACATAAGCACTTCATTTTATACTGACAAAATATTTTAATAAACTGTTCAAATTAAAAATATTTTCTTTTCATGAAGAAAATGAAATAAACTATATTGCTTAAATTTTGATTTTATTCAATAATATACAATTAATGAAACATTATTTTATAAAATACTTTTACAACTAATATCACATGAAAATACTTTGTCTACTCTTAAATTATTCCAAATTTCATAAATTATATTAGTTAAAAATTCATAAAAACATAATTTTGAGAGGTATCTCTATAATTCATAAGGGAAAACATAACTTACTTGTGACCTAAATGCTTCAGGAAGTATCCCAGGACCTTCAGAGCTTGAACCCAAATACTTTCACTTTTAGAAGCCAGTAATTTGTAGATCACCCTAAAAATCATATATACTGTTAGGCACATATTAATATTGAAAACAAAGATACTTTATAGTTTACTAATAAATTATACAGACATAAAACATAAAATATCTTTTAGGATTTTAAAATTCTTTGAAAAAATTAAAAATTTGTACAACTTACTAATTTTTCTCAAAATTTATACTTCAGATAGTTATATACAAAAGGCAATATGATTGGTTCTTCCTAAGTACTGCCAAACAGCAAACTGAATGAAATTTTCAATTTAAAGATAACTTTATTAGTCACATCTGCTTTTCTCCCAGAACTGTCCAACAGTTGAAACTGATGACTTTTTTTCTTGCTCATGGTAAAGGACATTATGGGTAGACATTGGCTCAATTATTTCTCCCCTCTAAGATTTTGGAATGAAGTTTGAGAAACAGTATTGTGTCTTTGTCAGGCTCCTGAATTAAGAAATAATTTAAAATAAACTAGGACAACAAATTTTGGTTTCTGTTTAGAAAGGCTAGTCCACACATAAAAGAATGAAACAAAGAAAAAATAGAGAAACTAAATTTGCTTCCTGATAGCTTTGCAATACCTGATTACCTACTCTAACCAAGATTTTTATAACATGCAATAATTTAATTTTACTAAAAATAGCTTGAGGGTTTTTTTGTTACTTGGGAAAAAATGTTTCTATTAACACATATTCAGGGCCAGTTCTGTGGCCTGGTGGGTAAAGCTGCCGCCTGCTGTGCTGACATCCCATGTGAGTGCTGGTTCAAATCCTGGCTGCTCCACTTCCGATCCAGCTCTCTACTATGGCCTGGGAAAGCAGTAGAAGATGGCCCACGTCTTTGGGCCCCTGCACCCATGTGGAACACCTGGAAGAAGTTCCCGGCTTCTGGCTTTGGATTGGCACAGCTCCAGACCTCTCTCCCTCTCTTTCTGTGTGTGTGCATGTGTAACTCTGACTTTCAAATAAATAAGTGAATCTTTAAAAAAAATTGTATCCCATTTTATCTCATAAGCTAAAAGGGGGCAAATATAATGACATATATTAGCAAATAATTCAAAAATTGAGGAAGGTTTTCCCAGGAGTAGGAATGATTACTCCAAAAAATTAGGATGTATTACATCATACTCTATTTTTACTAAATAAAGTACCATGGTATATTATGAAGGTGAAATAATATAGGCTGAACAGAAAACAAATGGTAATATAGGATACAATACAATTTTCTCTCTATTTAAAAGACATTTATCAAGAAGATGAAAAGCTTAAAATTATTGTCTTTTTACTTTTACCACTAGGTTACAATACTAAAAAAAGATATTGTTGCTATTACTTCTCTCTCTCTTTTATTTACTTATTTATTTTTGCATTTCATTTATTGAAGATGGACTGCAAGAAGAGGTAAACTATTGATGACTGCCTACCTTGGAAGATGATTTTTTCTTCAAATGCCTAAATATGTATGTGTTTACACTCAAATCTATTTTCAGAACTTTTAGGGTCTAAAACCAAGCAGTAATTAAAAAAGTCAAGTTCAAAAATAGAAACATGTGAAAACTAAAATAGTGAGATCATAAGAACACTGAAGAGTAGAAATAACCTTGAAAGACAAAATACAAGTTCACAATCCGAAAATGTAGCTATCCTCAGAGCTAAAACTGGAAGTTCTAAACTTATTACCACTGTATAGACCTTCCAAATTGTGCTGCTTTCTCTCTCTTGAGCCTAACATCATATAGTTTTCTTGCATCTCTTGGCTGATACACACTGTGTTTTTTCTTATCTTCTTTAAAAAAAAGTTCTTCCCACTATTGGCAATGTCTTTACTATAGTCACAACAATTTACTACCCTTGGTTTCTGAGACAATTTTACATACACTGCATCAGTTTCTTGGAGTATTAGAGGGGTAATAGAAGCTTTTTTCCATTTATTTCCTCTTTACATAAGATTTTGCTATATTTATTGAGACATCCAAAGAATAGGTGTCATTCTAGGACATACAACTATAATCCATTAAATTCTAATAATAATATTTTTATACCACAATCATACCTTATTCCATTTCTTTGATCAAATGCTGGTATCATTGAGGCCGGGTGTTCTGACATTAAAGCCACCAGTAACTGTAGCACATCATGAATATTTTCATCCTGCATAATAAATGATGACCAACATTTATTTAGTTAAAATTTTATTCAAGGACTCAATAAAATAATTAAAAAAGAAAACTCTTAACATTTCTTACCTCATGCATTGTAAGTAGGTAATTTAGTATACTCTGAAGCTCATCTTCTTTGACCCCTCGATCCTATTAACAAAAAATATTTAATTTAAATCTAAAAATAAATCTAAATCTAAAAAATAAAGGATTCATAAGATCACTTTAAAATAATTTAAAAGCAGTGACATTTTAATTAAATTTACCAGCTACCTCACCACTCATAGACTATGTTGCTTAAAATTAAATACAACTGTAACTTTTTTTAAAGTTATGAATACTTGATTGATATTCATTATCAACATTAGTATGTTTCCATACTCTAACTGTATTCATATTACTATTTTCTAGTCATTTTGTTCATTGTTTAAAATACTACAAATGGGCCAGCGCCATGGCTCAATAGGCTAATCCTCCGTCTGCGGTGCCAGCACACCGGGTTCTAGTCCTGGAGAGGGTGCCGGATTCTGTCCCGGCTGCCACTCTTCCAGGCCAGCTCTCTGCTGTGGCCTGAGAGTGCAGTGGAGGATGGCCCAAGTGTTTGGGCCCTGCACCCCATGGGAGACCAGGAGAAGCACCTGGCTCTTGCCTTCAGATCAGTGCGGTGCGCCGGCCACAGTGCACCGGCCACAGTGGCCACTGGGGGGTGAACCAATGGCAAAGGAAGACCTTTCTCTCTGTCTCTCTCTCACTGTCCACTCTGCCTGTCAAAAAAAAATAAAAATAAATAAATAATACTACAAATGGAAGAGTTTACAACAATTTCAACAATTTTGTACATTTTAAACCAAGTTTACTTTTGTCTTTATCTTAATCTTTAGAAAATCCTGTGATAAAATACATTATGCTGGCCGGCGCCACGGCTCAGTAGGCTAATCCTCCACCTAGTAGCGCAGGCACACCGGGTTCTAGTCTCAGTCGGGGCGCCGGATTCTTTCCAGGTTGCCCCTCTTTCAGGCCAGCTCTCTGCTGTGGCCCGGGAAGGCAGTGGAGGATGACCCAGGTGCTTGGGCCCTGCACCCCATGGGAGAGCAGGAGAAGCATCTGGCTCCTGCCTTCGGATCAGCGCGCCAGCCGTGGCGGCCATTTGAGGGTGAACCAACAGCAAAAGGAAGACCTTTCTCTCTGTCTCTCTCTCTCACTATCCACTCTCCCTGTCAAAAAAAAAAAAAAAAAATACATTAAAAAAAAAAAAACCATTATGTAACCCTTTTTAAAGTGGAATACAGTTTCCTAGAATAAAATCTTTATGCACAATTCTGATTCACGTGTTCTTTGTCAAGATTTGCTACGTTCTTCAGTACAAAGAATTTAAAAGAGCATTTATACAAAAGTTAAGATCATCAAAAGCTAACATTAAGATTTATGGAATTTTGAAAGCAACTCAAAGCTACCTTTATTGCTAATTTAATATTAATGATTTTAAACTATGACACAAATTATTTTTATCTAATATATTGTAGGTTAGAATTATGTAAAATAGCTTTACCTTTAGAATGAGTTGTTTCAGAAAAAGTAGCATGAATGCCCTTAGTGATATTATTTCTTTTTGGGATGGCCGGGGACCATCTAGAATAAAACAGTTAAAAAAAGAAAAGTGCTTAAGGCAATTATGTTAGAATACTGTGAAATTCTTTGGTAATTTTACTTATTATGGTATTTATTAGCAGTAAAATGATTTACAATTTTTAACATGTTACCCAAAAATAAATTTTCAGATTTAGGGAAATATAACTTTTTTAAAACTAAAAAATATTACTATCCATTGATAAATTAAAAACCACCAAGTATTTACGCAGATAATCCTTCCTATTTATTATTAACAAAAGTTTTTTCAATATTTCTTCCATCCTCAGTTGAGCGTACTTTCATTTAGTTTGCTCTTTTCAACTTTTGCATCATATAACAATGTATGGAAAAAAGTGTCACTCTATTGTATCACAATTATTTGTTTCAGAGGCTATTTCTTCCATGTCACTTGCATATAGAAAGAAAACAAAATAGTAGACACTCAATAAATGTTTATGTAGTCAGTAATGAAAATGATAATGAAAAGTTAAAAATGTACATATCAGTTCTATTATATCTAGATTTTAAAGTAATTACAAAATTATCTACCAATAAAAATGAGAATGTGAAATTATACATGTAACACCTATTAACACACAGTATACATTTAAGAAATATAACTAAAATCATCAAAATCCAGGGACATTAAGCCTTTATTGAAGTAGCCAAGATTTATATAGCTGATGTATAAGTTTTAAAGGTATGATCCTAGCAGTAAAGTGGCTACTTGGGATACTCACATCCCCTATTGGAATGTATGGCTGAAGCCACAGCTCTTCTGCTCCCAATCCACTTTCTTGATAATGTGTACCACAGGAGCCAGCAGGTTATGGCTCAATTATTTGGGTCATTCCCTCCCACGTACTAAACCAGGATTAGGCTTTGGACCCCTTGCTTTGGCTTGGCCCTGCCCTGGCTATTGCAAGCACTTAGGAAATGAACCATTGGATAGAATTCTGATATCTCTCTCTCTCTCTCTCTACCCCCTTCTCTGCACCTCTGCTTTTCAAATAATGTGAAAATAAATAAAATTTTAAAGAATAAAAGCCTGGGGCCAGTGCTGTGGCATAGTGGGTAAAGCCACTGCCTGCAGTGCGGGCATCCCACACAGGCACCAGTAAAAGTCCCGGCTGTTCCACTTCCCATCCAGCTCCCTGCTAATGTGCCTGGGAAAGCAGAGGAAGATAGTCAAGTGCTTGGGCCCCTGTACCTGTATGAGAGACCCAGATAAAGCTCCTGGCTCCTGGCTTCAGATTGGCCCATCTTTTTTTTTTTTTTTTTTTTTTTTTGACAGGCAGAGTGGATAGTGAGAGAGACCGAGAGAAAGGTCTTCCTTTTGCCGTTGGTTCACTCTCCAATGGCCACCACGGCCGGCGCACTGTGCTGATCCAAAGGCAGGAGCTAGGTGCTTCTCCTGGTCTCCCATGGGGTGCAGGGCCCAAGCACTTGGGCCATCCTCCACTGCCTTCCCGGGCCACAGCAGAGAGCTGGCCTGAAAGAGGGGCAACCTGGAAAGAATCCGGCGCCCCGACTGGGACTAGAACCCAGTGTGCTGGCGCTGCTAGGTGGAGGATTAGCCTATTGAGCCGCGGCGCCAGCAATAGATTGGCCCATCTTTGGGGAGTGAACCAGTGGATGGAAGACCCTCTCTCTGCTCCTGCTTCTCTGTAACTCTGCCTTACAAAAAAATAAACAAGATCTTAAAAAAAAATAAATTAAATAAATAAAAGCATAATCCCCTCATATATAATTAAAAACAATTTCCTTAAAATTTATTTGGGAGACCGAGAGTCAAGAAAGAGAAACAGGCAGAACTCCCTTCTGCTGGTTCATACCCCAAATGCTCACAGTAGCCAGGGGCTGAATCAGGCTGAAATCAGGAGTCAAAAACACAATACAGGTTTTTCACAGGGGTAGCTAGGACACAACTACTTGAGTTATCATGTGCTGCTTCCCAGGATATACATGGGCAGGAAGCTGAAATTGGAAGCTTTCATTGGGAGCCAAAGCTGGGTATCAAACTCCAAAATGGGACAGGACTCCAAATAAAGGACGACTCTGATACAGGATACAAGTTCTCAACTGGAATCAACCAGTAGGCCAAATGTCAACTACTATGCATAATTTATAATATCTGCTTATTCACACAACAAATCTTTTCATATTCATTATTATATGTGGATTCACCTTATCATCCAAGTAATCCATTCCACCTTTTATTGAGAAATCTGTTCATTTCCTAGACTGCTCTTCACATTTTTTGCTCTACTCCTACCAGTAGTACACAAAGTGCCCCTTCCTTCCTTATCAAAACTTGCTATTTCTTTTTCAAAAACCTTTTTCATTATGAAATTCAGCACACATACAGAATACATAAGTGTATAACCTTCCTGATCCCATCCACTATTCCACCTCAGTGGAGACAATTATTATCATAGTAATTCTTGCTTTTATTTTTACTTTGCTACTATTTAATATTTTGGACAAATTTTATATCTCTTTGCCTCAGTTTTTTTAAAGATTTATTTACTTATTTGAGAGGCAGAGTTACAGAGACAGAGGGAGAGAGAGACAGAAAGGTCTTCAATCCACTGGTTCACTCCCCAAATGGCTGCAGTGGCTGGAGCTGGACTAATTCATGGCCAGGAGCCAGGAGCTTTTTCCAGGTCTCCCATATGGGTACAGGGACCCAAGCAGTTATGCCATCTTCTACTGCTTTCCCAGGACATTAGCAGAGAGATGGATCAAAAGAGGAGCAGCTGGGACTTGAACTGGTGACCTTATGGGATGCTGATGTGGCAGGCAGAGGCTTAGTCCACTAGGCCACAGCACTGGCCCCTGTTTTTTTTCTTCTTTATTGTGATGAGCATAACAACACTCTTTTGTCAGAGAATATTTTGTAAGAATTAAATGGATCAGTATATATAAAGGAACAGGAACGGCACCTCTTCCATTTAAACTGCAAGTACTTAGTAACAATTAGATATAATTATACTTGTCATAAACCAATCAATGCAGAGAAATACATACTAATATTTTTATGGTTATGACATGAATCCTTTATTTGCAAGGCAAAATAAAAATAGATTTATCTAACAAATATAAAATTTGTTCAGTATAATAGAAAAATCACAGTGTATCAACACAGTGGTAGTGCTATACTTACCCAATCCTTTAGGTGTAATGCCACTACTGTCAGCAGGATTAATAACCCAATAGTAGTATTTTAAAGTGTGCATTAGTTGTAACACTGTCCCTACTCTGCGTATGGTGGTGTAGATGGTAGCAGTTCCAATAAATTCAGCAGACAAATATGTATAGAGGGAAAGTTGAACCTATTACATAAAGTAAATAGACTACAATCAACACAATCTAACAAAACTTGTTTTAACGAATGTTATCTAATAGTAATTGACAAATAATTTAAAATGATTCAATAACTCAACTGAAACTAATCTGACAGATTAAATTTTTATTTTAAAGTCAAGTAGATTAAAGCCCATCAGTAGCTCAAATGTATGTATTTCTTCACGGGAACAAAATTTACAGCAATCAGCTACAACATGTTTGCAAAAATACTATATCTGAATAATTAATGTAATTTCAAATTTTTTTCACCCATTGCCATACTACCTGATTGTGTACATATGTGAAAGCACTGATATGGTAAGTCAAAAATCGTATTTAATAGACTGAAGAAACTTCAGGTTTGAGGTTAGTGCAATAATTAAGAAGATGAACAATAACAAAAATCAGAACTTAGGCATTATCTAACTAGATATATGGAAGATTGTAAAATTGTAAAACACAGTTCAAAATCAGCATATCTTCTTACTGATTTCTACAAGTAGACTGTACAAATAAATTAAGGTAAGCAAAATAGTAAGAATTAAACCTTACTATCCAGAAAAATATTTATTTAAGAAGAATCATTTCCATGCCATGACAAATTCTGTGTTCAAAATTAAAGCAATTTCCAATTAAAATAATCACAGTAATCAATACAATTCTCTTTTCTTCCCATTATGTTCTGTTACTCTACTCTTTCAATAATTGGTATACCAAATTCTCTTCCTTGGAAGAGAATCTTCCACATCTACTGCCATTAGAATGCAGTGTTAGACTAAGCCTGATTTTTTACTATAGTTTTATTTATATTTATACTTATATATTTAATCTTTTCATCTCTGATACTACCTAACACAATTTCATTTGATTGATATTAAATAAGATGAAATTTCTTAATGCTTTCTATTGGACATTTTAGATTTAATAACTATCATTTATAACATTACAGTAACATAAAATGAATAAGAATAAAATCCATACTTTTGCAGGTGTATGGATCCAGATAGCTGGGTTGAATAAAATGTGATCACAAAGCTGTTTCAGCAAAGGTGCTCCATGAGATAAACCATCTAGGTATTTTGCAAAGGATAAAAATTGCTCCAACACAGCTCTAGTTATATGAACTCTTGATGACTAAAACAAGAAAATAGAAATAGCTAAAAATATCCAGGATATCAAACTTTAATTTTGACCAAGCATGCGTACATAAAATGAAAATTTTATATAATTTTGCTTTTTAAATACAATTATATTAAGAAACCTAGAATTATAGAATATTTGAGTGGTAGCTTAGAAGCAATCTAAAGACCTTTCCTGGATAATTACAAATAACTTGGGTTAAATAATGTTATTCTTAGCTCAAGCAAAAGAAATTAAATAAATTATTAATAAGAATGATTTCCTTCTATTTTTGTAGAAACTAAGAAAAGGAGATCTAGGCATAGATATTAAAATATTTAAATAACTACCATATACCAAAAAAAGGGAGAGAGAGACAGAATGCTCTGAAACAGAAATATTTTCAAACTAACTTCAAACCAAACTCAAAATACATAATTCTACTATTCTACTGAATCATTTCTTCAAAAGTTATGAGTTCTACATTGACAAATGCAGTGAACCTTCCTGAGTATAAAACTTTCTGATGAATCCAGTTTCTGACAGAAAAAGCAAATTTGACTTTCCTGGATATTCTGTACTTATTTGGCTTTCATGATCCTCAGATTATTTCTCAGCATTCTTTGCTTAAAATATTATTTCCTCAGTCACCTCCAGAAATACACCCTCCTTGGACGGTATCTTATGCTTCCACAGCTTTGTAACACTAACTTTCTGCTGATTATTTCCCATCAACCATTTTCAGCTGCCATCAACAATATGTAATCTATTACCAATGGTATTTAGAGAAACAAGAGACCCTGCAAAATTCCAATTAAACCTTAAAGTTGCTCTTCCCAATACACTAGCAAATAATCCTATATGGCTACTTGGCAGTTGAAATGATGTTAGTCCAAAATGAAATGTGTTGTAAGGCCTACATGCTGGAATTTGATAGCTCAGAATGAAAAAAAAGAATGTAAAAATTCTTACTCTTTCTTATTGAACATATGTTGAAATGATGATATTTTGTGTATAATAATTTAAATGAAATATATTATTAATTAATTTCAGCTGTAACATTTTACTGGAAATGTTTAAATTGCATGTGATACTTGAAATATATATGAATTGAACAATGCCATCCTAAAAAATAATTTAAGATAAAAATGTTATGACAGAAAAAAACCTTCATAAAACATAATAAGTCAAACATTAAAAAAAGTCTTTTCTGGGGCCGGCGCTGTGACGCAGTAGGTTAATCCTCTGCCTGTGGCGCCGGCATCCCATATGAGTGCCGGTTCTAGTCCCGGCTGCTCCAAGAAGTACCTGGCTCTTGACTTTGGATTGGCTCAGCTCCAGCCATTGCAGCCATCTGAGGAGTGAACCAACAGAAGGAAGACCTTTCTCTCTGTCTCTCCCTCTCACTGTCTGTAACTCTACATCTCAAATAAATAAATAAAATCTTTTTTTAAAAAAAAGTCCTTTCTTCCTCTTCTAGTGACTCCTTTAGTAGTATCACCACCCTCCCAGTGTTAGGATAAAGAATCAATTGCCACTCAAACCTATAGCACACCTAAATCAAGATTGAAAAAGGACTAAAATTCTCTTGCCAAATTTCCTTCCCTATATTTTACCCACATCCCTGCAGCTGAAATCTGACCTACAAGTTATACATTTTCATATTTCTAATGGTTCTCAACCTCAAATGATTGCTATTTTACAATGAATGAATTAAGTAAGAAGACAATAAAGATTGGTAAGGACAGTTTCAAGTTCTCAAATTCAAACTAAACAACTTTTTTCAATCAAAGTATTTCTTTGGGAAAATTTCAGTATGTGATTTCACTTTGGTCCATTTATTTTCTCCATGATGTTCCCTCAACTTTTAGTTCACTTGCATCCATTTCTCAAACCTTAAACTGTAGAGCTCAAGACTTTTCATATAGACATTTAGAAAACACATATATTGAGTACTTACTATTAGCCAGGCACCCTCCTTGGCACTGTGAAAAGAGCAATTAACAAAACTGAAAAAACCCTGCCCTCACAGAATTTACATTCTAAGGGAGGAAAAGACAGGAAAATGACATAAATAAAATGAAAAGGTGAAGTATATAGCATGTTAATAAGCACATGTAAAAAAGTGGAGCAATTCAGAAATTTACGGAAGAGGGTTTGATGAGGTGGCATTTAATTGGTTCTAATCACAAATAGGCTAACAATGATTTTATATTCACAGGATTATGTTTTTGACAAAAATTTCAATGGTATTATATATAAACAGTAGCTTACAAAATTTAAACCAAGCCCTAGAGTGTGATTTTACATTAAAAGTTCACAAAATAATGGAGAAAATAACAAGAAACAGCTGAATTAAGGGGTTAAAAAGTAAGGATCAGGCATTCTTGTTTAAAACAACTTAAAAAGACAGGAGGAATTGCTGTAAATTCTAGAATATTTTATTCATATAAGTAAGAATAAAATTTAAATAAGAGATCAATGTTTACATACAACTTCAGTAACTTCCTTCAATGGTTATAATTTCAAATAGTTTTCTTATATATTCAATTTTTTATTTAGTGGTACTGATTTCAAGAATATGATCTATTATGCTATTATACTTACAATTCTGAAATACAATATAGTCAGATCCTATTCCTAGATAAATGTTCAGATATCAGGCTTCCACTTAGAAAAACTGTCATATGCTTATAAAGACAACACTAAACTGTAATATAAAAATAAGTTGACCATTATGAACATATTCATTTAAGGATGTAATTCAGAATTTAGAAAGTAGTTTTGAACTTGCTACATATCATAAAAGGTACAGTACACACAACACATGAGTCCTGCCACATTAGTAAAAAAAAAAAAAAAAACTATGCCAATATCATTCAAATTAATGTTATTAGAGACTAATTTTTAATTCTAAAATTCATCATTAAGAAATATTTTTTCAGGAAGGATTTGGCCTAATGATTAAGATGCTGCTTGGGATGCCCATATCCCACACTGAAGTGCCTAGGTTTGGGTCCTGGCTCTTTCTCCCACTGCAGTCCTTGTAGACTATGGGAGGCAGCAGGAGATAGAGCAAGTAGTTGGGACTCGGTCATGTGGCTGAATTTAGTTCAACTCCTGGCTTCAGCATGGCCCAGAAGGCTTTTCAGAAGATAATCAATGGATGAGGCAGTGCTTTCTTCCTCATTTGCTCTCTCCATGTCCTTCCATCCCTCCCATCTTCCAAGTTCCTCTCAAATAAATCAAATGCAAATAAAAATTTAACTTTTTCTAACACTGCATCTTTTTATTGGCCTATACAAAACACAACTAGGTATAAAATGAATGTTCTCTTCAAAAGAAGCATGTTAACTTATAAGTAGTATTGATTTCTTTTTTTTTTTGATTGTTTTTTCTCTTTCTTTTCCGTTTTTCTTAGATTTATATTTAATTTGCAAAAAAGAAATGTCATTTTTCAAAGACCTTAGCATGCTTTTTCACAAATCAGACTTGTTAAATCCAGTTTCTTTTTTTTTTTATTATTTACTCATATCTCTATGTCCTGATACAAGAAAGCATGCATGCTATCTTGTTCATCTTTTGCCATTCACTACTTTAATTCCTTAGCAAATATTTAACTGAATTCATGTCAAATTCAAGAATAGCATAAGAAGAGAACAGATAAGGAGAAACATAAACAGATTAGGAAAGGATGAAAGAAGATATACAAATGTACTTTTAATATGTTTACTTTGATTTATTAGTTTAAAATATTTTAGTACTTGCTTTCATTTTCTCAAAAAGTTATTCTAATAAGAAATTCATAAAAAGAAATTTATAGTTACAGATACACGGACATTAGATAAACACAATTTAGTTCTCATAGGAAATGTAAGCTCTGGAGTTTGAACTATATGACATTATTTTGTGTGGTTATGGAATACTTAAGTTTTAAGTATTATACAAGATATGAATAAACATTTTTGAAGTGGCATCTGAACAATTAGAAAAAAGGTACAGTATCAACTCCAAAATTAAGCCAAATAGGTAGACTCAATGTCACAAGAGAAATGTCTACTCAATAAATGTAAATCTTTCCAAAATTCAAAGCAGTTTATAATGGAATAAGTTGCTAGAAATGTTCGTTTTTATTTAAGAAACCATATTATATACATAGAACATGCATGATTATATAAATAAATCATTGAAAGTGATTTTAATTGGTAGAGGTACATCATGAAGAGGTTGATCCTAGTATGCATTCTACTCTGGCTAGGACTCCGAGGTTGAGTTCCACATAGTCTAAGCCACTCATAATAATCATTTCTTTTTATTGTTTGTTGCTTTTGGTGGTGATTTGTGTGGGTGTGTTCTGAAAGAAAGCAATGATTACTTCAGAGGCCAAGCATCAAAATTTAGCATTTTCATGGCAACAGCTGTTGGTTCCAAGTATGCCAAGATCTAAGACTATCAAACAGATTGGAGGGAAGGGTGTTGTTCAGTAACTGGGAGAAAGCAGCACTCCTACTCTTCACCTGGATGTGAAGGTCTACAGTACCATGTTCCCCTGGAAGCTTTCCCATGACCACAAAAGCTACCAGGGTTAGCATAAAATCAGCATTTTATGTGGAATAGGAAAGATGCAGACAAAACAGCATCATTGATGACATTATTGAGACAGATAACTCAACTCTGAAGCCAACTTACTGAATCTGTCTTGTTGGCTCCCCAACCTTCCCTATTCTTTTTCCAGTGGGTTTTGACTAGTTGGAGATATCAGCAGGAAATTAAAAGACAAGAAGAAAATGAAATTGAGGTATTTATTCCCCGGCTTTACCACTTAAAGTTAGTTCATAATATTGCTTTACTAAAAACAATACTCCATTCAGGTACCCTACTCCTAGAGCTAAAATAACTCTTTTGAGTTGTACTAAACACCTAACTCCCTTCTCTCTTCAAACCTTCCTGAATTCTCTTAACAATGCCCACAAATCTTCAAACAACCTTGCATTTAACATTTCTCAATAACCCAG